ACAACCTCAGCAGCCTCCTGCCTGCACAACCTCTGTCTGCCTCCCGTGACAGGAATGTGTCCTCGAAACCCACTGGTGCTGAGCATGCACAACTCAGCATTACCAGGGACACTGTGGAGTGGAACACAGGGCTGTGTGTGTGTGGGGGGGGGAGTGGCCAGTATCTACACCAACCATTGATGGGAATGTGGTCAAGCCTCTTAACCCCTCTGGGCCTCAGTTTCCTGATCTGTCCACTGGGCTGAAAACAACACTCGCCTCTCAGGGCTGTGTGAGGACAGAGTGAAATGATACAGATACCCATGGTAAATATTCAGATCATATCAACATATTTTCAAACACAGCTGACTTATTAATGTGGTTAAATGTACCATAAATAGGCACTCAATGGATTTATTTTTTGCTTGAGTGTTTCAACTTGGTAAAAACTAAAAGGTCAATATGCCTGTGGTCTTACCACATAGTCCAGTGCAATGAGCAACTTTGGGGGAAGGGAGAAAGTCTTCTATCTAAAAAAACATATTACCCAGGAGTGGGAACACATTAAGCCATGATCACCTACTCGTAGCTGGGCCTGATGAGCGTCCGCAGGGAGCTCCAGCTGCCACCCAGCAGGCCCGGGATGTAGACGGGTGACATTTGCGGGGTGAAGGAGCCACCTAGAGCTCTGCCCTCCTTCCTGCCCGCGCGCGCACACACACGCACACACACGCACACACACGTGCACACACATGCACACACACGCGCGCACACACACACTCTCACAGGGAGGGAGGGGCAGGGCAAGGACCCCGCTGGCCCATGGGGGAGGTGGGGTTGCAGCGGGTGGAGCATGAAGACTCAGGGCCCGTGGAAGTGGGAAGGAGTAATGAGAGAGAGACAGGCTCAGAGAGGGTACAGGGGCCCGAAGTCCATCTTTGCCAACTTCAGCTCCACTCAGGCAGCTCTCAGCGGCCCCGCCCCACTGGGAAGCTTCACCTGTCCCCCTCAGCGTCGCTGTGGGGCAGAGAGCCGGCCTCCCCTCCCACTGAGCTCCTCGGCCCTCCCTCGGCCCTTCTCACCACTGCCCCTTTTCAGAGGCAGGCCGGGACCCAGCTCAGGGGCGAGAACTTACCCACGGTGGCTGTCATGCCCGGGGAGAACCGCTCGTCACAGAATCTCCTCAGGAAGGACGTCTTCCCCACGGCGGAGTTGCCCACAAACACGATCTTGAAGAGCCGGTCTGGGGTGGAGGGAGAGCCCTCCTCCTGTGGGTGACGGACAGTCTGGCCAGCTGCTGGATGGTCACTAGCCCCTGCTCCGCCACAACCTGCCCTCCACCCATCCCTTCGGGGTCCAGGGGACAGTGGGACCTGGCCGCCACACCAGCACCAGGGAGGCTGCCCAGCCTCGGCTGCAGGTAGTTTGGGGCTCAGGGCATGAGCAGGAGGAAGAGGGACATGCATCCACCCAGCACGTGTTGTCCGCCCACTGTGTTGCGGGCCCTGAGCTGGGCCTGAGATTCGGGGACGAGGAGGAGGCCTGGTCTGTGGTGGCGTGAAGGAGGCAGGCACCTAAACAACCATCTCAGCACCTGTTCCAAGTGCTCTGGGTGCAGGGCGGAGTCCAGGACCCACCCAGCAGACGCTCTGAGCTGGGATGTAAAGCGAGAGCAGAGATCGTCTAGGTGGCGAAGGGGAGGACAGGTAGGGTGGTTGCAGGGAGGAGGGAGATAGGAAAAAGACAACTCTGTCATGGTGGCAGAGACAGCGACCGGCGGGGGGGGGAGGGGGGGTTTGTCCCTGCCCTGTCATTGAAAGCCTGGACTGCGGAGGACACCCTTGCCTCCCTGCCCTTTGCTCTCCATCCAGTCTCACCAGCTTCCCTCTGGAACCCCCATTCTCCCTGGGAATGAAGGCAAGGCCGACTCCCCCTAGCAGGCTGGGAAATCCATAGCACCAGGCCCCTGGGCAGAGCGTTCCAGAGTCCAGCAGTCACTGCTGTCCCTTCTCCACTGCCCGGCAGCAGGAGGGACTGGGCGCCGGCTGCCCATTAGCCTGGGCTTCGAAGCCCAGCAGGGAGTGGACTTGCTGGACACACAGGGGGTGAGAGGCGGAGGAAGGACCCGCCTTCCTGCATAGGCTCCTTCCAGCCCTCATTCCTTCCCAGAGCTGTTTGCCGCTCCCGCAATCCTGCCTTCAAACCCCGCCCGGCGCGGCTGGGCCAAATGAGGAAACTCTTTTGAAGTTATTTAGAAGTGGATTTGGGGGAATTAGCTCCTCTCATTGAGCAAATGCTATAATGGAGTGGCGGCAGATCTTAGCAGTACTTGAGCTTCAGAGGAAAACCACTAACAGCCTTTTGGGAAGAAATCAATTCCATGCGGTACTTAAGTAGGAATTCAAGGTCAATTATGGGAATTTAAACTTAAAGAAAAAAATACTCCACACTCAAAAGCTAGGGCCCCTGCCCCCGTTCTTTACTCTTGCAATGCCAAGGGCACCGGCTCTCCGCCGTCCCTGCCACCTCTGTACCTCGAATTGCGATCTGTTGGCCACTAAAGCTCAGAGCAGCACACTCTGCAGCCTGAGGCCCAGGTCTGGGTGAGGAATGAGGAGCCCAGGGTGGGAGGAGCAGGCCCTGGCTGCAGAGGCTGAGCCTGACCTTTACCTTAGCCCTGGGGGTCCCACTCCCACCCCCCAACAGAACACTACTTTTTTTACAGCCCAAGGAAGGTAAACACATTTACTGGTGGCTCAGCTCCGGACAGAACACACCTCCCACGTGCAGCAAACTCTTGCTCAGTGTTCAAGCACTTAGCCTGTGTCCCCTCGAGGACAGTCCACAGTGACCAATCGGATGGGGCAAGGGGGCTGGAGAAAGGTCTGCTATTCTCCTTGCCACTGCTTAAAAAATAAAGCTTTAAAAATAAAAGCAAGCCCTGGCCGGTTTGGCTCAGCGGTTAGAGCGTCGGCCTGCGGTCCGGAGAGACCCGGGTTCGGTTCCCGCTAAGGGCATGTACTTCGGTTGCAGTTTGTCCCCGGCCCTGGTTGGTCGTGCAGGTGGCAGCCACTCAATGTGTCCCTTCACGTCGATGTTTCCCTCTCTCTCTCCTTCCTCTCTCTCCCTCCCACTCTATCTGTACAAAAAATGGAAAATATCCTCGGGTGAGGATAAAAAATAAATAAATAAAAAAATAAAAGCAATACACGCAATTTTTAAATTAGGAAATATAGAAATTCGGGAGGAAAATAATAATTATTTATAATCTACTCTACCACCTCGCAGGGGTCACTATTCATGTTCAAATGTATTTCTTCCAGGCTTTTTATCCTTATATAGATGAATGAACATAGGTCTTATTGAGAGAGACTTGAAGTATTATCCTTTTATTCTTTTCATGTATTATTAAATGATAAATATTTCTCTGGGTCCCTAAGATATTTTGATGTGATTTTTAACGGCAGAGTAATATTCTACTGAATGAACAGGCTACAGTTTGTGTCCTGTTAGTTTTCCAGTTGTTGCTATTAGACTCTTACACTCCTGCGTCTCAGGTTATTCCCTGAGAAAAGACTGCTAGAAGTAGACGAGCTGGCTCAAAGGATGTGGCATTTGTATTCTTGGTTCCCGTTATCGAACTACTTTCCTGAAAGGTTGCACCATCTCTGGCTCGGCAGCCTTGCACGGAAGGCCCCTCTCAAAGCACCTTCCGGGGAGCAGAGCCTCTGTGGAGGCTGTTACCTGGCTTCTAGTGGACCATATTTCCTCCTCGCTGCAGTTTCTGTCCCCAGCTAGCAGGCTGCCCAACCTGGGGGAGGCACAGTGTGTGGGAGCGCGCCCCCGGGCTTCACCTCCGCCAGAAGGAAGAACCCATTTCTGATGCCTCTCAGAGGACTGTGAGGACTGAACGCCACACAGACCCAATGCTTAGCCTCTCCCTTGACCCCTGGCCTCTTGACACTTGTTTCACATCGGGGGAAAGCGTGGGGTGCTGACAACCCGATCTGTGCCCATTGCCCGCATGTGCAGGTCTGTGGGCTGGCTGAGCTGTGGAAGGACAGGTAGGGGGCGGGGCCTCACCCACCAGCGGTGCCACCTGTTCACCCTCCCCTGGGCCCTGGGCCTCCACCATGCATTCTACCCTGCAGAGGAGTGATACATAGGCATCAATCTTACTCTGACCCAAGAATGATGACCGAGAAGTCCCTGCACAGTGGCCAGAGGAGTCTTCCTGTCCCACATGCTCATACAGCTATGGAAATGGGTAAGGTGGCAAGGGCGCCATTCTAAGGGCTGTCCCAGCGGCAGGGAGGAGCCTATCTGGCACTGCTGTGCACATCTCTGAAGCTGCTTTGAGGGTCACGTGGAGGGCAGGGACTCAAGGAGACTATTCCTAGGCCTTGGTCACAAACAGGTGTGCAACATCATCGCCACGAGCCAGAGGAGGGTGGTTCAGTGGCCTCCTGCTCCCTGCAGAGTTCAGAGGAAGACCTGGTGGGGCGTTCAGGTGAGACATGGGATTGGAGCGTTACACTGAGTCAGAAAGAGCATAGGGTAGGGAGACGGGCAAACATCAGAAGTTACAAGGAGAATTTACCAGGACCCCTGAGTCTCCCCCAAGACACTCAGCTAAGCAGGGGAAGGTGGTAATTGAAGGACACAGATGTGTCGAATCACAAGACCAGCAGCATCTGACTTCCCCGAGTGCCTTTGGGACTTGACATAGGCGTGCCAACTAACACCAAGTGGGATGTGCCCTTACCGTAGACAGAGTTTCTTTCCCAACAGGCTGCCCTCGGGGGGATGTGGGCGTGAGTTCCAGCTGAGAATGTCGGGCCTGCTGGCTTTGGCCTTGCACCCCCTGGTCAGAGACCTCCTCCTCTTCTGGACACCTGCTCAGCGGCCGCTCAAAGCTGCCATCCAGGAGCTGGGGCAGGGGGTCTTCTTCAATGGAGATGATTCTGCGGAGCACCCGGGGCAGTGGACCCTCAGCCCCTGGCTCCCTGGTTCCTGGCTCCTCTTCTGTAAGGGGATACCCACTCAGGCCCAGGGAGCTTCTCCTCCTCAGCATGCCAAACACTTCTTCTTCCTCCTCTGACTGGCTATTTTGGGGTGGGGAAGAAGGAAGAGTGGGAAGAAAACTGTAAAATATATCAATATGGAAGCCACACAGCTTTTCTGACAGATGATGAAAGAGCACCACACTCTGGGAGCGGTGCTCCAGGAAAGGAAAAACCAGACCCAGCATTCTTTAGTCCACTCGCTCAACACGTTTATGTAAGTGCATAACAGTGAAGGTGATGGTGGTGAAGGTGATGATGGTGAAGGTGATGGTGGTGAAGGTAATGGTCAAGGTGATGATGGTGAAGGTGATGATGGTGAAGGTGATGGTGGTGAAGGTAATGGTGAAGGTGATGATGGTGAAGGTGATGGTGAAGGTGATGACGGTGAAGGTGATGGTGGTAAAGGTGATGATGAAGGTGATGATGGTGAAGGTGATGGTGAAGGTGATGGTGAAGGTGATGACAGTAAAGGTGATGGTGGTGAAGGTGATGGTGAAGGTGATGATGGTGAAGGTGATGATGAAGGTGATGATGGTGAAGGTGATGGTGGTGAAGGTGATGGTCAAGGTGATGATGGTGAAGGTGATGGTGGTGAAGGTAATGGTCAAGGTGATGACAGTGAAGGTGATGATGGTGAAGGTGATGGTGGTGAAGGTAATGGTCAAGGTGATGACAGTGAAGGTGATGATGGTGAAGGTGATGGTGGTGAAGGTAATGGTCAAGGTGATGATGGTGAAGGTGATGATGGTGAAGGTGATGATGGTGAAGGTGATGGTGAAGGTGATGACAGTGAAGGTGATGATGGTGAAGGTGATGATGGTGAAGGTGATGGTGGTGAAGGTAATGGTGAAGGTGATGGTGAAGGTGATGGTGAAGGTGATGACGGTGAAGGTAATGGTGGTGAAGGTGATGGTCAAGGTGATGATGGTGAAGGTGGTGGTGAAGGTAATGGTGAAGGTGATGACAGTGAAGGTGATGATGGTGAAGGTGATGGTGGTGAAGGTAATGGTCAAGGTGATGATGGTGAAGGTGATGGTGGAGGTGATGATGGTGGAGGTGATGATGATGACCTACTAGGTATTAAGCTAATGTCACAGTCATGAATTAATGGACACAGCCTCTGTCCTCATGGAATGCTCAGCTTAGTGAAGGGGCTAAAGCAATGATGACACAAACTAAACACATTATTACAAGTTTTGAGAAATGCTCTGGTGGAGAAGAAAGGGTGTGAAGAAAGGTACGTGACAGATCTGGAAATAAGGCATACGGGATTAACAATCAGATGGCCTGGACTCTGCTCCCCGCCCTAGCTAACTGAGTGTCTCTAGGTAAGACACTTCAAGTCTGTTTCCCCATTATAAAACTGCCCTGTCTACCTCACAAATAAGACAATGCATGAAACAGACATGCTCACAAAGCAGCCCCCAGCAGTGTGAAGGGGGCGTTTTGGGAGGGCCCCCACAAGTCAGATGTCTGCTGGTCCTGAGGCAGCGGGCCCACTAGAGACCAGGCTTTGGGTCAGAAGGAAGCCAGGCAGGGCACCTCGACCTGCTCCTCGCTCCTTTCTCTTTCTCTTTCGGTGACCCTGCACGTAGCACAGCATCTTGTACATAATAGGCCTTTGATAACAGATGTTAGTGGCAGGACTCATGTCTAATTTATCTTTGGAATCTTCACAGAACTCAAAAGAATGTCTACTACAGAGTAGGCAATCAGTAAATGCTTGTTGAATGAATCAATCAATGAATATATTCAGTTCTGAGGAACCAACAGGCCAAGTATTATCGCACAAATTTAGTTCCAAAATTGTATCTCACTCTTCAGCTACTTAGAAAGGAATTCATGATGATCAGGTCCAAAAACTTGACTCATCAGCTGACTGACACCCGAGTCACCTCCCTGTGCCTGTCTGTTTATTTCATGCTTGCTGTCCTCAGTCTTCTTGTTGAGCAAGTCTGTACACATCCTCCTCAGATCTAATACTAAGGGACCCAGCTGCCTGCACCTCTGTGGCCACTGATGTGCATGGAGCACGTGCCAACCAGAGGAAGAATGGGACCAGCTGGTCTCTCTGAATAAGCAGTGAACCCCACCTTTGGAGATTCAATTATGTATTGTCCAACAGGAACAAAACATGTCAGCTTTCAGTTAATTAAATATGGATCGTTGAAAGGAGTCTGTCAAGCACAAGCCCCATTCTTGTCTGTAAAGAAGTTCAGCCATTGGAGATTCCACACAGCACTTCAATTGTCCTCCAGAGCCTAGTCACATCCCTGAGAAACTAAGTTCTGCTCGACAGCCACCAGGGCATGGTCACGCCACACCCTCCACCTGTCCCTGACCTCCCCGTTCTCTCTCTGCTGATCTGCAATGCCACTTCAGTCCCTCTGGGCAGGGGGGATGGGGCGGGGCACAGAAAACACAGCAGCCTGTCCTAGGGCACAGGACTCCTCCCACTTGGATGTCAGAACAGGAAGGGATATGTCCTCCAAGATCCAAGAGCTGACCCCAGGCTTCCCCTCTGCTGGAGGGCCAGTCTCCACTCAGCACAGGCTCGGGGTCCGCTCCCAGTGAGTACAAGACCAACAGACAGACAATGAAGGAGCAGACAGAGGATGACTTACCTTCTAAGGATGCCCCTGCTGTCCATGTACTTGCCTATCACGGAGCCAGATCTCTGCTTCCTGCTCGCCTTGGCGGCAGCGGCGCTCAACTTGGCTGCCCTATCTTTCTGTGGACACACAAAAGGCCCTCAGCTCCGTGCCTGTTGGTTTGTCCCGATGTTTGAGCAGAAGGGGCTCAGCTTTCCCACCTCCCAGGTCAGGCTCTAAACCAAACTCTGAAGTAAGCAAGCGACGGGCTGGTCTCCCTGCTAGCATTCGGCTGGTCTTCCCCTTTGCCAGCATCTCTCACCAGAATGCTGCCACTTCCTGCCTAATCACCGAATCAAACGAACCAACACACAGTGTAGAGCCTGGGGTCCATGATTTTGTCCTTCACAGAACTACTGATCATTTGCAAGAGGACAAGTAAGACGAGATCGATGTGGAATGCACAGGAAACATACTTATGGACAGAAAAGACACTGTGCCTCTTTAAATCACACTCTCCTGTGTGGCCCCAGTTCCTTTTATTCCCAAAGCCTCAGATATGAGGAAGGGGGCAGCCCAGAGGACCAATTAACCTAGTGTCCTGGCCACAGCTACTGAGCTAGCACAGGGCATTTCAAACCTTCTGTGGACGTGACTGGGTGTGGATTCATGGCTCTCACATCTGTAATGAAGACCCTGGGTGGGGTCGGGGCTCACAACCCCTTTGCCAATGCTCCCTAACAGTCCCTAGAAGAACCTCTCATTAACCAGCTGTCCCCGTGATTCCCGATGATCCTTACGGGGGTGGTGGCAGGACTCCCAGGACCCCTGAAGGTAGCACTATAATGATTCCAAATTAATCTTTCATTATCATCCAGCATGAACATGATTTTACCCCTTTCTTCTACTCCCCACAAGGGCTTTTAAGTCCATTCCCTTGTCAAAGCAAAATGAGCTCGGCAGGTGACGGGAAGAAGGTCAAAGGATTAGGATCACATTTGGTTGGAAGTTTCCAAATAAACTCAGCGTTACTTCTACAACAATTACCACCATTATCATCGCTAAACAAGCGTATAGGCTGAAGCCCTGTGAATGACTTGTCCATAAGACACATGAAATTCACGGTGTGATAATTCTGATGATGAAAATCTCACATTTTCCCTCCCTTTAGCGCATCCAACAGCCACTGTCTGAGAAAGAGAGTAGGGGGACATGGGATCCCAGATTTTGTTTAACGCAACTCAGAGGGAAGAGTTTTAATAAATACAGAATTCTGTGCTGTCTGGGACAGCACGTAAGTGGGTGCTGAGGTGTGGAGAAGCAGGGGTCCCCACAGGGTGAAAAATTGCACATAAAACCAACTATGTAAATTGTAAAATATACACTTTGAATTTATTCTGTGAGGGTGTAAAATGCAAATGTTTCATCAAGAGATAAAAATTATAATGAAGAAAAAAACTGCGAACATTTTGGCTTAAACGTGACCTTGACCTCTTCACTGCGCCCTCTCATGGCTAGAACTACCATGACCCTCCCAAATACTCTGTCTGGTTATGCCAGGAGGGGCGTGTGCGACTTCACGAAAAATCAACACACTGTTACCCGGGACGTCACCCTACGTTCGTGTTGTTTTCAAACAAGCCCCTGCCACGGTCCTGCCATGCAGAAAGGAGCAGCCAGGCCCCAGGCCTCAGGGCCTCCCCGGCCAGTCCCGGCTCGGGTTCCGGTGGCCCCGGGACCACAGTCCTTGTCTTCCCCCAGAGGAAGGGGGCACCGGGCACTTACCTGAAAACGTATGTCCCTTTCATCCCGAAGGTGCTTGTTCCTTTCCCTGCGATGGAAAATAGGATCTACTCAAAGTGGAGTTCGCGGCCACAGAGCCAACAGCAGCGGTTTGCCAGTCGGGTGGGTGGAGGGCAAGGCTGGGTGTGGAGGGACCCGGGAGGTTGTGGGGCTCCTTCTTAGGGACTGTGGTGAACAGCAGAGGGCAGTCTGTGTAAATCAGCTCAGAGGAAAGGGGACAGACAGATGGCCTGGCGGCACCCACGGCCCTTCAGATCATGCACTGGGAAGCTGCCCCCAGAGGGCGCCCAGGAGTTCCCGCTGCGCCTGTGAGTGGCTCTGGGGCCTGTGTGGCCCCTCTGACCCATTCATTCGTGCCGACATCCACTCCACAAGTGTCTCCTGGGCACCACTACATGCCAGGTACTGTTTCAGCTATCAAGGTGACAAGGATGAACAAAAGAAAGAGTTCCTACCCTCAGAGAATGTGTGTTTTAGTGCGGGCACAACAGCTGCTGAGAACAAAGTGGGGCAGAGAAACCGGGTGTGCCGAGGGTGGAGTGGGGTTTCGGTGGGGCGTCGGGGGGGGGGGCTCCCCGTGAGGGCGGCACCTGAGCAGGAGTCAGCGGAGGAGAGCGGAGCTCTGCGGGCATGTGGGGTAGAGCATCGCGGCCCCACCGGCAGAGGGCTGCAAGGGCCAAGCCTGGGGCTGCGGCCGCCCGCCCGCCGTGTGCAGGAGGAACAGAGGGAGAGCAGAAGGAGGCAGGTCAGAGAAAAGACAGAGGGGGAGGGGCCTGCGGGCCAAAGTAAGAACTTTGATTTTTAGTCCAAATGAGAAATGGAGCCGTGGGGGGGTGAGGTGTGGGAGGCAGAGGAGTGTCCTGATCTGACTCAGGGTTTCAAAGGGGCCCTACAGGTGCTGTGGCAAGAACCGCCTGCTGGGGACAAGGGTGGGCCCTGAGGATTGGCCAGTATTTTAAGCAGCATGTTGGTCCACCCTCAGTGGAACAGTGGTAGAGAACGTGAGGAAAGGAAATGGAGACAGTGACTACAAGTGAAAAGAATTCTTTTAAAAGTTTCGTTGAAAGTGATTAAAGAAATGCCAAGTCGCTGGATGGGGAAGGGAGGGTAAGCGATACGGTAGAAGAAATAACATGGCGCATTTACAGGTCTCTCCAGAGGGAGGGCGCAGCCACGGTCGGACGGTCATCACTGTCGCGTGGCCATTTCTGGGCGTAGACCATGTGCAGGCGCCCTGCTAAGTGCGCCGCTCAGGCGGAGGCGCAGATCGGAGGCCGAGCAAGGGCCTCAGTCCCTGGGCTGCAGAACACACTGCAACGTGCGGGCCGCTGAGCAGCAGCCGGATACATCCGGGTGAGCAGGCCGGCACACAGCCAGGGCCTTCTGAAGGAGTGGGAGGGGCGAGGAAGGTACCTGCAAACCCCAAGAATGGCAAAGGGAGCTTCTCATGCCTGAGCGACCCCCCTTTGTGCAGGCAGTGCCGTTACAGCCTTGCACCTGGGTGAGGACTTGGGGAGCCCCGGGGCCATGTCTTCAGGGGAGTTTGCTGTTCATGCTTGTGTGGCCATCCCCACTCAGAATCTTCAGTATTTAAGGAAACGCCAGACTCTTCACATATGTCGACTTTGGTTTGCATCACTTCCCTGTTGTGACTGCTACTCACAGCTATTAGCTGGTCTCAAAGAGGCCCGAGAGGTGGGCAGGAGAAGATGAAGACACTGGTAAAGCCAACTGCCCAAGGTCGCACACAGTGATGAGAGGCAGTGCTGGGTCCTGAGCCAGACCCAGCTGCAGAGTGTGTGTTCCTGACTGAGTGCCCTGACATGGCTTCCATTTGCCCCCTTACCCTAGGAGGGCGGTCCCCTCCTCATTTGGTCACCCCCCGGCTATTGTCCGGATTCCACCGCCACCCCCTCCACATCCCCACTCTTCTACCCACCCTACCCACCCCTCCCCCAACTTTCTCTCCTCACTCTGCTTCCCCACTGCTCTGGGCCGCTAGCGAGTGATTTCACTGGAGGAGAAACCTGCTGCGGGCCGCCTCCCACGCCGGCCTGCACCGGCTGGCACAGTGTAGCGGGAAGCCACGCAGCAGCTCCGGCCACGTGGTTCTGCACAAATGCTGGTCTCCATTAGACCCACGAGTACTCGTAGAGTACTGCCTTGCCTCCCCCCCATTCCTATTGAATCTGCCCTTTTCTTTTTTCTAAGTATAATAGAAAGAAAGGGGGAAGAAAAAACTTGTCCTTGAACATCTTGTTCTCTTCCTTTCACTAAAGCCTTCCTAAGAATCAACATCTCTCCAGTGGATGAGAACTTGGCCACCTAAGAAAACCTTTCATCTCCCAGCCTCTGGGAGCCTGTTTGAATCACGCATTGAGAGCAGCCCATCTGAATGCATTCAGCGTGAAGCACTTTTCAGTTTAGTAGCATCATGGACGTCAGACACAGCGACCTTACCTTTCTTTCAAATAAAAAATAAAAACAGAACAAAAGCTTCATAACTTACCTGATGTAAAACCACTTGCACTTTACAAATCAGAACCCAGTCCTCTGCCTGGTCACCATTCCCCAGCAGGTGTTTGGCAGGTAGCAGGTATTTGGAACCTCGGGGGCAAAGCTCACAATGCTGTCTTTCCCCACACGGGTTCAGTGGGTTTTTGTTTGGTGTGGTGTCTGGCACCTTCCAGACCAGTGAGCTTTGAATTTACAATGAGGTTTAGCAGGCTAAGGAAACTCCTTACTTGGTGCTATTCCCACTCACGTTCAGGCAGATCCGGGGATCTGACCATGGCAATAAAGCAACTACCGCGACAAAGCAAGTCACACGAGTTCTTTCGGTTTTCCAGGAACATAGAAAAATAATGTTCACGCTACACTTTACACACGTTACTCTATTAAGTGTGCGACAGCATGATGTCTAAAAAAATGTACAAACCTGAATTAAGAAATACTTTATTACTAAAAAATGTGACCCATTATCTGAGCCCTGTGGAAAAATGGCACCCATAGACTCGTCCCATGCATGGTGGCCACAAACCCTCAATTTGTAAAAAAAAAAAAAAAAAAAGCAATACCTGCAAAGCACAATAAAGAAAGCACAACAAGACGAGGTGTGCCTGTACTCACTCAACAGGCGCCAATGGAATATGACAAGATAAAGAGAGTCAGCCAGTGAGTACTGCTGTCACTTCTGGTAAATGATCTCATTTCTCCAACATCAACGTCCTCCTCACCTAACTCCTGGATTAACAACCGCCCCACTCTCCTAAGTTAGGTTGAAGATGAAAGGGACACGGTGGCTGGCACAGAGTGGATACTCAATAAACTCAGTTCCCCTTCTGCTTGGGAAAGAGCCCTGCCAGGTGCTGAGAGAGACGCAGGAGGAGCGGAGCCTGCCCACGGAGGGGTAAACTGGAGAGGGAGGGGGCGTGTGTGGACGGACCAGGCACAGAGGAGAGGGTGGGATGCGGCTGTCTGAACGAAGTCAAACACAAGGAAATGATGAGCTCCCTTAGCAGCTGTCCTCCAGCACGTAGGCCGGGAAGGCTCAGCCCGGCCCCCAACCTCAGGCGTCTGGGATGCACTCTCGGAACACAGCAGTGCTGACCCACCTCAGGAAATCCAGCTGCTTCAGGAGCCCCGACTTCTCCCGCTGCAGACCCTCCGTCACGCGGTACACTTCCCTAGGGAGGAGGCAAACGGCGGCCATGAGCGGCTGTTCTGGGGGTGAGGCACTCAGGACCCCTCCCGCTGGGGACAGAGGGGTTGAGAGGAAAATGGCCTTCCTTGGAGATCTCAGTGAGCCATCAGACACCCTATTTGGAAGGTAAAATTATCCCCATTTTGCAGACAGTCAGAGAGGTACAGAACCTCTCCTGGCTCACACAGGCAATCCAGGGTCGTGATCACGGCCTCCTGGCCCCAAACCTGCTCATTCCGCAGCCACCCTCACGCCACCTGTGGGCACGACTCTATGGGAGACAACTGGACTGTTTTTCCCGGGCTCCAAACGGTCCTGCTGCTCAGAGTTCGGGGAACTCGAGTCGATATTCTTCTCCAGCCCAGTCTTGGAGGGCGAGCGTACAACAGCTATTCTTCCCCTGCGTGCTAGGAGCTCTCGAAGAATCGTTTTCCTGCCTCGCCTTCCCCCAGAGTCTCCAGTCTGTTCCCAGATACCTGGAAATTCCACTCTCGGTCAGTCACTACTTTGACTTGGGATTTCTTATCTCTAGCTATAAAGCAGAGATTTAATGCGTCAGTTATATCACAGTATGAAGCTGTCAATCATATCAGGAGTTTTCAGGAAGTGGGGAGAAGCTGAGAGTTCCGTGGAGGCTGGAGGGCAACGGGGCGAGGCGGGGGTCTGTCCAGCGCTCCCGTCTGCTTCCACACCGCAGGGCCCCGTCTGCAAGCAGGGCCAGGAAGAAACAAGGGAGAGAGCAGAAAGGAGGGCTGGGGAGGGAAGAAGGAAGGCAGGAATGGAGGGAGGAAGAGAGGAAGAAGGGGAGGAAGGAAGGAAGGAAGGAAGGAAGGAAGGAAGGAAGGAAGGAAGGAAGGAAGGAAGGAAGGGAGGAAAAAAGGGAGGAAGGAAGGGGTAAGTTGGGGAGGTATTCAGTAACAGTCAGGGAAGAAAGGAAAAAAAGCTGAACTGGGTGACGCTGGAAAGTGAACCTTGCATAATTTCCTCCCATCTTTTCCTCTGTGCTCTGCACCGTGGTTCATGCAAACGGTCCGAAGGTCCACATTTCCAAACTGCAGCACAGCATTTAGTGTAGGGAGCATCGTCCAGCCTGACAATGTCATCACTTTCCCTAGGTTGTTGGGGCACCTGGACTGTGCACACACTGGGATGGGCAAGGACAGCCACCCTCTGCCACCCCATCAATGTCCTTGTTGATGTGGTGAAACAGAACCAGCTTGCTGGGTCCATAAGACCCACGCCCGGCTCATAATAACCTGGTTTCTGAAGAGTTATCTGTAGTGGCCTTCTCTCCCCTTTACAGAATAATTATAAAGTCAATTAACAATAACGGTCTGAATCAGATAGGAAGTTCACCTCAGACGATCCTAATTAAGCAGCAAAACTTCTCGGGCTCCTGTAGACCTGCAACTTCTTAACATTTTATTACCAGCTATATTTAATTTCAACTTGAAGGAAAACAATGTATTTACCATTGTCCCAACTGGGTCCCCAAACCCCTTTCTAGGGTTGTGCTCCGATGAGCAGAATTGGAGCTGCCTACTGGCTGCCTCTGTGCCCCCGGAGTCAAGCTGGCCTGGCCGGCTTTGTGCACCCCCAACCCCCGTCCTGCTTCTCTCTGGGGGCAGCAGGGAGCAGACAGCTGAGGAAAACCACTCACTGGAGATCTCAGGTCTGGGTTCTCCAGGGTGTTTGACTGAGGAGCCAATTCCTAAATAACAAGTTGTCCCAGGTCTTCTCTGACTGTTTTCATAGAACCAGCTGATCGCTGGAGCTATACAAACACACATACAAATACACACATATATTATACTACATATCAATGTGAACACATCTGTCCATTTGTCTAGTAAACATACATCCGGTTGGAAGCATATAGACAGATATACAGCTGACCTTGAACAATGTGAGGGTTAATCCCCTGCACAGTTGAAAATCCATATAACCTAAGTCAGCCCTCGACTTAACACAGATTCCCGCCAACCAGGGATAGAAATGTAGCTGATCCTGGGGCAACTCGGGTGTGAACTGCTCCGACCATGTACACAAAGTGGACCTGCACAGTTCAAACACACATCGCTCAAGAGTCAACGGTGTGCACATACACATAGACACACACATTCAGATTGCTTTGCGTTAACAAAAAGAAAAGTATTTCTGAAAAGAATGGAACTTGGGTGTTTGACTGAGTGACCTTGAAAGTCCTAACTTAGACATTCTAAAAGTTTAGATTGGTAGTATGTGAACTCAAAGGGAAAGGACTTGCCACTTTCCACGGGAGTGGTTGGTGAGAGGTTTATGGTTGCTTTTAGGGAGCTGCTGTTGTTTGGTTTGTAGGAGATGGATCAGATATGTAGAACAGTCCAAAATATATTGTCAAGTGAAAAGTGCTGGCAAATGCAGAATAATGTGCTACTGTTTTGTAAATGAAAATTGTGTGTGTGTGTGTGTGTGTGTGTGTGTGTGCGCGCGCTCTGGAAGGACCCACAAGAAACCATGACTTGTGGCCTCTGGGTGGCTGGAGGCTGAAAGTGATGGGGTGGCGGGGTGTGCATCCTTTTGTGTCCTTTGAATTTTGTGCCTTGTTATAAAATATCTATCCTAAATAAAAGCTAACTAACAGAAGAAACAGAGGGGTGCTGCTTTTCAGTTGACCTTCATCTTTATAGCATCGTCCCTGCTTGGTTGTTCTTTCTTTATCTTATTTTAAAATTGAGTTCTCCTTCCGTGAGCCTCTTTAGAGAACAGGAAAATTAATTTGTCCATTCAGAAGTCTAGCTGATAAATGACTAAGTCTGTCTATCAGCGAACCTCACCCTTTCCCCTCCCAGTTGTTCCGGAGCAGCCTCAAGCAGCAAGACATTGTCAGGAGAAGCTGTGTTGCTTTGGGTTGGTCACCGTACCTCTCTGAGCCTCTTCATTTGAGAGATGGATTAGAGCATTAAGGTTCTATCGGTACTGTGGGTCTGGGACTCTATTCCACAGAGAACAAGCTAGGCTCTCTCTGTCCTTCCTCCTGACTTCCCTGGACCGGACAGGACAAGACATGCTCTCCTGGGCTCCAGCACACTTTTTGACTCTACAGAACACTGCAGGCTTCTCCAAAACAAGCCCTGAAGGTCCTGGAATAATCTCTTCTTCCTAACCCTCCTTCCCTATTTAAATTCCCAACCTCCAGAGACTGCATCTCTGGCTTGCTTAATTAAGATAAGGCTGGGGGAAGATGTCATCCTCCTGTTGGGATCTGGTGCTCCACGCTGGGTGCTCATCCCATTTGCGGTTCTAATGGTGTGCCTTCAGATGTTTGCTGCTTTTAGAACTTGATTGGATTTTAAGAGCCTGCAGCCTTAATTCTGTTTGTCAAGTTAAATGCCTGTACCTTGTTGACCTGCTCTCAATGAGGAGGAACTGATTCTGCTCGTTTACAGTGAAATATACTGTCCTTCCACGGGTCACCCAAGAATTGGAATGGAGGGGTTTTGTTTTAAGTCAGCCACTTGGAATTTTATATATGTATATATATACATATATACATTTGTGTGTGTGTGTGTGTGTGTGTGTGTGTGTGTAGTTAACTGGAGATATCTTACTAGGGTAAAACTTTAAATCCAAACACCTGCTTTTCATCCTAGCAATCAACCTCACATGCTATAAGACAGCACACATCAGCCAGACAGCAGGACAATTTGATTTAGGCCAGTGGACCATTTGGCCAACAGTCCAACAGAGTGAGGGCTTTCACTTTTGATCAAGGAGAGTGAACATTTGCGTAACATCCAGCACTGGTAAATAATGCTGCCCTTTCCTCCGAAATCAGACTTTTCATCCCATCCAGCGCAGGACCGGACACCTGAAGACACTTTGCTGGAGAATGGCTGCATCAGTGAATGAGACATGAACCAGTGAGTGGGTGAGCGGTGGCCAGTCCAACGCCTGCGCAAACACGTTCTAGCTGGCTCATTATTCCCTGGGAGGAGTCAGCAAGATATGTGTAGCCCTGAGCATCTTGGACAGATACTGAAAACCTCAAACCTCAGTTTCCTCATCTACAAATCAAAGTTGGTCTCTGCCACATCAGGGTGCTGTAAGGGTTATATGAGATAATGTTGAATTATCAGCATGAGCTGTATTGAATGCCCAGCACAGTAGCAGGCACAGAGTAGTTTTCAATAAAGATTTGCCAAATAGTAAGTACATAAGGGTGTGGAGAAATGAATGAACAGATAAACAAGTGAGATTTTTCCCCCGGGCCTCAGGATGCATTTGGTCTCCAAGATAAATGCTGATATTCCTCAGCAACTTCTCTAGCTCAGCACAAACCTACACCTTGACTCTCCTCAGGCACGTCTCTGCCTATTAAACGGAACCCCGTGGCTGGACACTAGGAGCAGTTCACCCGCAAACCAGGCCCTGAGAGGCGTGGGGCTCCCCGCAGCGGGCCCCACAGAGGAGCGCTGGCGGGAAAGGGGGCAGAGCTGCAGTGAGGATCCCAGGGCGCCCTCACACGCCCCGTCCAATTTCATGTCGACCTCAGGAGTCTTCGGGCGTCACCCTCGTCCACTTGGGTCTCCCAGGTCTCTAAACTATGACAGTCATGTTTGGTCTGCCCACTCACTCAGCATTTTCTCACGGACTGAACTATGTATTCATTGGCTGGATAACATGTCTTCCTGATCACATAATAAACCTTCCGAGAACAGAGTTGTATATTGTCATCCTAGCTAATGCTCAGCACAGCTTACTAGTTGCAGAACCTTAGACGAGATCTCAGGGAGCATGGAACCCAATCCCCATTTTACAGGCAAGGGAACAGGGCCTCAGGGAGGGGAGACAGACGCTCCCCATGGGAGGGAGCTGGAGGCAGGAGGGTCCCCGGGGAGACTCACATCTCCTTCTCCTGGTGGAGCTTGTGGGCCTCGTGCTGGAGGCTCTCTAGCTGCTGCTGGGCGTCCCGCAGCTCCCGGGAGGTGCGCTCCAGCTCCTGGGCCAGCTCCTGGTTGGTGAGTCTCAGCTTGGTGTTCTCAGCCTTGGTTTCGTGCTTGTCATTATGCAGGGCTGTGCACTGGCCTTCCAGCTGGAAGAGATGGGGGACAGGATCGGGGAGCAAGCACCATGGTCAGGCTGGCGTGCCCCAGCCTCGCCGGGCTTTCTCCACTTGGTGGGCAGGGGCCATCGCTGTGCCCTCACTGCCCTCAAACCTCCTTCATCCCCAGGTGCACCCTTCAGGGGGCCGGAGGGGCTTCCGGGGCGTATCTCACCTCTCCCCGTCTCCACAGGGCTACTGGGAACGGAAATGCCACAGCCGCCTGCATTTCTTATCTCAGTGATGACAATCATCATCATCCCATCGAGGATCTCAACAACGGTCATCTCATCGAGCCCTTGAGATCCACTGTAAACCCTTCCTAATGTCCCTGAAGCCATTTCCTCTCCTTGGCCATCCATGGAATGCGGAACAGGGAAGGGGCGTCCTCATAAACCATCCTTCTTAATTTTGGATACTGAGAGCATATGTATCTATTACCTCTCCTTCTCTCAGCCACTAAGTCCGACCCCTTTAATCGACAGAAGCTCTGTATGGTAACCAGAGACCCTGAACATTCACAAGAAGTAGCACAAACAGGTCAAACCAAACGTGTCCCTAAAGCAACTTTGTGCACCTTCAGCTCTTCTTGGCGGGTGGCTCTGCCTTGCAGAGCTTCCCACCTTCGCACTGGAGGAAGCAGCAAACCAAGACAAATTGATTATAATAAATTGAGCTTAATGAATGCAGCCGGTAAGGGGAGGAGGAAGAAACGACGAGGAGTTTCGTGTGGCTCTCACGAGGCTCCTGTGTAATGGGGTAAGCATTCGGTGAGTAACTCGGGTGGCAATCACTCATGTGCAGGATAAATCTAATCGGTGAGGACTCAACGCACAATTAGTGCGGAGGAGAAAGAGGAGGGGAGCAAGGCGCGGCTGTGGAAGGGGGTGGGAAGGCAGCTGGCAGGTCCTGAAGTCGGAATCACGTTGTTGCTGAAGAAAAGAACCAGACTCCATAGACTGGGTAGCAGCAGGCGGGGGGGGGGGGGGGGGGCAGCCTCCAGCCTTCGCAGGGGGTGTCTTCAAGCATATTTTAATGTGTTGCTAAAAATAGCCCTCTCTATTCAAACAGAAGCAATGTGTCTGGGTCTGTCCAGGGCTGGATTGCTCCCAGCAGAGGACAAAACAAAACAGGAGGACAAGAGGACCTCTGGCCTCTCTCCCCCTCAGGCCCTTACTTTGGGGAGGAGGCTGTGAGCCTGGGGCTTGCCTAGGCAATCGGGGTTCCTGGGGTCGGTAGCGGGGCGTTCCCAGGGTATTCGCAGCCTTAGCAGATGGACCCTGCCCCGCGCAGTGCACCTGGCCCGCTGCTGCAGCTCAGGCGCATCAGAGGGGCACCTGGGGCCTGCACCCGCCCGGCAGGAGGAGGGAACAGTCACAAAGAGGCTGCCCGACCTCGTCCAGTGGGGTCGAGGCTGCACCTTTGAAGAGCCTCCCCCAGCTGGAGGCATCCATAGCCATCCTGGCAGGAAGACTTGACTCTGCCGCCTCTCCCAAGGTACCAGTGACTGTCCCTGGTAACTCCGCATTCCCCCCCCCCCCCTTCCCTTACACAGCAGGAGACAAATGAAAACTTTGACATGCCGGCGGCTCCTGGGCACAATTATACGGCAATGACTGCTGAGACTTCAAGGGAGAATTCTTAGCAACTTCTCAAGTTAAACACCTGGCCCTGGAGAATTAAAGGCTTTATCTTGGGATCATCTGAGATTTCAAATGCTATCTTGCACAACTAAATGGTTCTTCTCAGACTGAAAAAAGAGACGTCCTTCAGCGAACGGCAGGGAAAGTGGGCCAGAGCCAGGGAAGGGCTGCAGGAGGCCCAGGCGTCGGAGCACACAGCCTACCCGCTTCTGTTTCTGGGCGAGCTGCTCCAGCTCCTGCTCCTTAGACAGCAGCTTCTGCTCCAGCTCCCGGCTGCGGGCCTGAAACCGCTCCGTGTCCTGCAAGCCAGAGAGACGGACACGTGAGGCTTCGATGCACCCGGGATGGAGATGTTTTCCCCACCCGAACCTGCTCAACCGCAGGGCCCCCCATCCTTGTGGGCTTTGGGGCCTTCCCCACAACATCCCGGGGCCTCGGTGACCTGCCAGCTGGTTGGTGCGGCCCGGTGAGACCGGGAGAGCACACGTGCTCAGTGCCGCTTGACCGGTGACCAAGCACCGCCCCCAGGAAGAGGCAGTGCCAGTCAGTGGGGGGGTGCTGAGCAGGGAGACGGGAACAGGGGCCTGAGCTCACATCTCAGGCTGTCTCCTCGTTTGGAAACCAGGGGGTGGGTTATCTTTCCATTTGGATGTCCTGTTTCACCTTGGACCCTGTCTTTGATCCCTTAAATGACCTTCACTCTGGAAACACACAGCATCACTTCCTGTGGGTCTAGGTGCCCTCTGTTTCCTCACCGTGAGGGAGGTTTCCCAGGCCCCGATGTGCCTGCCCCTGAGCTCCGGAGCCCCGTCCCTCCCGCCCCAGAACTGAGCTTCCGCACAGGGGTGTGCAGGCCCTGGACGCAGGTGTGAAGGGACCGGGTGGTGGGATACAGAGGGAAGTGTGTAGGTTGTCAGGATGCCTGACCCTCTCCAGAGCCTGGAATGGTGTAAGGCAGCGGTTCCCAACCTGTGGGTCGCGACCCCTTTGGGAGTCAAATGACCCTTTCATCAGGGTCGCCTAAGACATAACAGTAGCAACATTAGTTATGAAGTACCAACAAAAATAGTGTTATGGTTGGGGGCCACCACAACACGAGGAACTGTATTAAAGGGTCGCGGCCTGAGGAGGGTTGAGAACCACTGGTGTAAGGGCCCTGAGCTGGGTGCCAGGAGACGGGTTCCAGCCCTCGCCTTGCCCAGCTAATTCTTCTAGATCACGGTGTGTTTGAGCACAGAATAGAAATGAAAATACTCCGGCCACTTGTAGCTGTCCCCTTGCCTGAAGGCAGAGCAGAGATGCAAACCACGCAGGAAGAAAAGACGTCACTGTAGCCTCCAGGAGATCGGGTTCCCCGTGTGCCTTCACCGGAGGGCAGCCCTGTCCGGCGGGCAGCGTGGGCACGACCGGGCAGCAGCAGACTTGGGGACACACTGCTCTCAGGGCAGAGACCCTTCTGTTCAAAGGCTCAGGGATTTCCCGGGCTCGTCGTCTGCAGACACTGCCGGCTGCCTCTACCCATTTTCAGGCAGCAACTGCAGCTCAGGGACAGCACGCGATGGTCCTCCTCTCAACCCCATGCCCTGCGGAAGCAGGTTTGGGGAGGCCGTTCCTGCTCCTTACAGGGAGCCTGCGTCATTTGGCCTATCTGCCGCTCAGGGAGCAGTGCCAGGGGGGCAGTAGACCAGCTCCAGAATCCCCACGCCAGGGCTGCCATCGCCGGGACGGGCCTGAGGGGTGTCTTATGGCCCCGCCCGCACGGACCTTTGAAGGGTCCATTACCCTGGAGCCGGAGTGTGTAAAGTGACCAATATGTCCCTCGGGGTCAAATAAACTGCTAAACGTAGAACCAGAACCCAAGTCCTGGCCAGGGGGCCCCGCTTTTCCCGTGTTGTCATCAACTGTGACATCACTGTCCCCACACTGTGGCTGGGCAAAAGCCTGTGCAGCAACAGCTCAGCACAGTCTGCCAGTTCCCATGTTTGCACAGAAGCATGACCCTGAGCCCTGAGTCTGGAAGGTGTTCGCTGCTGAGAAGGGAGAAGCGGGGCGCAGAAGTGGTGCAGCAGCAGTGAGGTCAGGTCACCTCCACGACACTAACTGGTCCTTGAGTTGTCCCTCCGACCTCGTCCCACGCCCAGTCCCCATGCGCTGGCCCACCTTTTGCTTCTGGAGGCATGCCCCCCCCCCTTTTTTAAATCCTCACTTGATATTTTTCATTGATAATTTTTTTTTTTTTTTGGTAGAATGAGAGGGAGGGAGGGAGAGAGAGAGAAACATCCACGTGAGATTGGTTGCCTCCCACACAACCCCAACCAGGCTGGGGATCAAACTTGCAACCAAGGTACATGCTTTGACTAGAATTGAACTCACAACTCTTCGGTCCATGGGCCGAATCTCTAACCACTGAGACAAACCACCAGGGCACATGTCCCTTTCTTTAGCCAGGACCTTTGACCTGCTGTCATGTCCCAGGCAGAGGGGCAAATGCCCCAGAGCTCAGCCCCTCTGTGCAATGGTCCATTTGGGGTCAAGGAAGTAGCTCTCCGGCAGCGGGGACAGGGGGACACTGCTGTTCTCAGGAGACTATTTCAGGGTCTGCAAGGTGAGGAGTGTGTGAGTTCTGTCTGCCCTACACTCACTGGCGAGGCTGAAGGTTGGGGGCAGCCGGACGTTTCACGGCGCTGAAGAAGAATGGGGGGAGGGCTGGGAATACCGACCCGTCTCCGGGGGGTTCTAGTTGGAGAGCATGGCTGGCTTGTTCTGGAAAGCATCCAGACTCCCTCCCCCGCTGAATGGCATCTGTGATAATAAACGATGTGGATAATCAAAGCGACATACAATTAAAAATGGTTCACACCAACCTGCGTTAGCAGGAGAAAAGAGGTTGTGATTACAGCCCAGGTTCAGGGCTGGGTGGCGAGGGATGATGTGGTCCGTGTGTGTGTGTCCCCCAAATTGATATGCTGTCTCCTAACCCCCAGGTGATGGTAATAAGAGGTGGGGCCTTTGGGAGGTGATTACTGCCCTTATAAAAGGGACTCTGGGGCGCCGCTTGGCCCCTTCACCGTGTGAGGAGACAAGGGTTAGCAGGCAGCTGCGACCCGGAACCGGCTCTCACCAGAACCTGCCCACCCTGATCTCTGACCTCTAGAATGGTGAGAAATAAATGTCTGCGGTTTATAAGCCAATCAGTTTATGGTATTTTTGTAATAGCGGCCCAGACTGACTAAGGCGGAGGCCACTATTCAAGACAAAGATTTTCCTGCCGAGAACTCACCAAGTATAATCCAAAAATGGATAACCGAAAGTCTCCTGCACTTCGATTTATGAATATGGATTTGCTTAGCTTGGCTAAAAGAGGTGATGATTTGACCAGCTCTGACCTCCCAAGACGAAGAGCAGGCTATTTGCCAGACGAGGAATAGGAACTGTGAGTTTCAAATGTTCTCCCATGGTATCTGGGAATTGGTTTGTCTGGAGTGTTACATTTCCTGGGTGTCCAGGGGGAAGGGTGGGGTATGCAGGCTGTCAGGACGGGAGGGAAATGGGCCAGGGCGTTTGGGAGGGCATGCCACGTGGGTCTGGAGCCCAGCCAGTACCAGACTCGGTCTTCAGGGCTTTAACTCGTAAATCACACACCTGCGTCCTTAGTGCACTTACTCGCTCACTTGTTCATTCACTCTGATCCAACACAGTTGAGTACCTACTGTGTTCCGGGTGTGGTCAAGGTGCTGCGGATACATTGGTAAGTAAAAGCCAAAGATCCCTGCTCTTGTGGAGCTTATATGTTAGTAGGAGCAGACAGACCTCAATCAATAAAGATAAACAAGCACAGCCCGGCTGGTGTGGCTCAGTGGTTGAGCGTTGACCCATGCACCAAGAGGTCACAGGTTCGATTCCTGGTCAGGGCACAGCTCAGGTTGTGGGCCCGATCCCCAGTGAGGGGCATGCAGGAGGCGGCCAACTGATGTTTTCTCTCATCAATGTTTCTATCTCTCCCTTCCTCTCCTTCCTCTCTCCTTAAACGAAGAAAAAAAATTTAAAACCAAATTAAATAAAAAATAAACAAGTACATTATATGCTATGTTTGAAGGTGACAAAGAAATAAATGAAGTGGAGGAAGAGGGAATCCACAATGCCACGGGGAGGCACTGAGCCGGACGTGGAGGAGGCAGTCCGAGTAGGGAGATCGCCGTGGCCGCAGAGCCAAGCCCCGGGAGAGGACTCTTACTTTCAGGAGAAACTGCTCCTTCTCACTTTTGATTTGCTGTTCCATCTCCTCATAGAGATGCTGGATTTCTTCATCATACGCAGCGATTTTCCTGCAGAGATGGCAAAAGGAGAGTCTGATGAGGGCTACAGTGAAATTCCTTTTTCCCACAGAAGCAAATCTGGAGCTGTGGGTGCTGGGGGGACACTGTGTAGGTCAGGTCAGCCAGAGCTGCAGGATCAGTTCCCCGGGATCAGCTGACCACCGCGGCCAGGAGGACCCTCTCCTGCCCCGTCTCCTGCCATCACTCCTGGCCATGCACATGCTCCTCGGCCAAGCTCCCCGGCTCCATCTCCTTTACTCCACTTTGTTCCAACACCAAGGCCCTGGCCTCGGCCACACTCGCCTCCCTCCTGCCCGCTGCCCCGATGCTTGCAGACAGCATAAGCTGTGTGGGCTTCTACCTGTTTGGTTTCTTGGTCTATCGCCTTCCCCCTTTGGTGTGTTCTCCCTACCTGGCACTGCCTGAACTGCACTAGCAGACGGCTCGCCTGAAATGGGGTGACATCTGTGTGATACACATTTCTTGTAAGATCTCAAAAGACTGCATGACAATGACAACCACCACCACTGCACCCCCTGCAGACAGAAGGGGCCACACCTGCCCAAGTGCTCACGCCCTCTGGGCACAGGGCCACAGGGCCACAGGCAGGCAGCAGGAGGCAGTTGAGGCTGCTTAAAGGCTAGAGTTATGCCCGGCCGGCGTGGCTCAGTGGACTGAGCACCGTCCCATGGACTGAGAGGTCCTGGTTCGATTCCCGGTCAGGGCACACGCCCGGGTTGTGGGCTCGATCCCCAGTGGGGGGCGTGCAGGAGGCAGCCGATCGATGTTGATGCTTCTCTCTCACATTGATGTTTCTATCTCTCTCTCCCTTTCCCTTCTTCTCTCTCTCTCTTAAAAAAAAAAAATCAATAAAAAATTAAAAAAAAAATAACTAAAGGCTAGAGTTGCAATGAGATGTCCTCATCCCCCTCTCAGCATCCTCTCCCTCCTTGGAAGAGCCCCACAGAACAGGAAGGAAGTTCATGGGTACTGGGTTCCTACAGAGATGAGGAAAAAAGTGGCTGTGGGGACAGGACAAGGTTCATAGGTCACCCTGGGGTTGTTCCTCCCTTTCTCCCAGTTATAGATCCTCCTTCAAATACACCCCCCCCCCCCCATTCAAACAAGAAGGGTCAGGTCTTGGCATTTGAACGGGGACTGGAAGTTATCACACCAGCACTGACGTTCCCAGGGGATGCATTTCTGTACCTTTTCTCCGACCTGCAATGACAGGCCCCCTCTCCGCCCTCCCTCTCCGCCCTCTCTCCTGTTGCGGGAATCCAGGCCCAGTGAACACGCCGAAGTCAGGGCTCTCGAGGTCTGTTCTGAGTATGTAACACACACATCTTGCAAATTTTGTCAATTGTCACTTTAAACTCAAATGATGGAAGTCCCTTCTGCCCTCAATTCAAATAAGGAGACTTTAATAAGAGGAAACAGCCCCGGTCCTCAGTTCTGAGTCACTGGGGAGATTTCTGAAGAAAACATCAAGGATAAGAATGTATTTATTCCCCTGAGACTTCCATCATTTTAATCCCTACCTCCATATGTCCACTTGGGACTCTAATCCAGTGCCCACTGTCCCTGCTGCCCACTCGCTGCCCGCTCCTCACCTGCCACCTGTCGGGAACATTCACATGCACAGACCGAGCAATGACTAAGGAGACATTTTGACTGGCACCCCTCCAATTCGACACAAACCACAAAACAGACGCAGACAAAGGAACTGGCGTGAGTCTCCGTGGTCAAGGTCACTCATATTAGAGCATCAGCCTGAGCTCCTTTTCTGGCTGTACCTCCAATGTCAGACACCCGACTCTGAGTGAGTACGGCAATGGCCCCAGCATGTGCTCGACAGAAAGTGACGGGTCTCCAGGACTTCCTGAGCTGGAGCCCGGGCTTTACCGTCGTGTCGGACGTCCTTTAATGCTGAGAGTAAGAAACCTGTTCTTGGTAAATGACAGATGTTTGGGATTGTTTTTTGTTCTTAGCTAACCCGTAACAATGACAAGAAAATCTTAGAGAGAACTAAGGAGCAAAAGCACCTGCTGTTAAATAGAGACATCTCAGGGACAGAAATGAATACAGTTCGAAAGAACTTTCAGCAGGAAGAATGGTCTTCGCCTGGTCCCTGGGATCATCTTTCTGTGCTTGAAGAAACGTAGATGGTAGGTGGCAAATGGTGTCAAGGAAAACTTTTAGACAGAAATTCCAACTATATAAATACTGGAGAACTAATAAAGTGAGATGAGAGGAACTAAAAATTTAATTTGGCTCTGTTAAAGAAATACTAATTACAGTCATTCATATAAGCTGTTTACCATGTATGCCTAAACACCGTGCAGGGCATTAATTCTGCACTGTCATAAAATGTGTTACATTAACTTTGCTCTAAGTTTTATTTGATTAAATTAATAAACTCTGTGATTTTTGCTCACGTGTCAGCTTGCTGGTCATGAAGTAATTTTGTGCACTGCTAACAGAACAAATGGAGGAAAGGCAGATGGAACCTCTGAACGGGGTGCACTCCCGGCCCTCACCCACAAGGTTGGTCCGCTGCAGACACGCTCGCTGGGCATCAGTGAACTGGGCCCAACCAGACTCACACGTGGAACCAAGCCTTCGGAAATGCGTTGGCTTGGCTGGACTCCTGGGAGACTGCCCAGGCCTGAACGACTTTGGAGGATGAGCCCTGACTCATGACCAGCCTGATGAGACACATGAGAAGCCAGCTCAGGATTCAGAGCCAGCTCATTTCCTCCAGGTGACCTTGGACAAGCTCTCCGACCTTAGATACCAGGGTAGCACCTGCCCTGCATCCTCCCCAGCACTGTCATGATGAATGACAGACAAGAGAGCGGGTATGGGAAGCATCTGGAACAACAAAGCCCTAAATAAATGGAGGGATTATTTATTATGGTCATTAGTATCAGGGACTGCGGAGCAGCAGCATTCCCCCAAGGGGAGGCGGGTCTTAGTTTCAAGGATAAAGGGGCTGCTAGGTTCGGAAAGGGTCAGAGACAATCAGGAAGAAGAAGAACCGAAAAGCTCGGTCAATAAAAACTGCAGTCAGACTAATCCGTCCGAGACCAGGCTGCAGAGAGCAGGGGCTGCGGAGGCCCAGCCTGCACCCGCGCGCAGCTGTGACAGCAATGATGACGACATACACTGGACAGGTCTGTGCGCCAGGCGTGCGGTGTTGCAGCCAGTCACCCTCATTCTGCCGTCAGAGGAAACGGGCAACCAATGATGTTTGCTTATTATGTACATTTTTGTTACCACGATTTTCTTTTTTCTTTTTTTAATCCTCACCGGAGGAGGGTGAGGACATTCTTCGATATTTTGTTCAGATAGAGTGGGAGGGAGAGAGACAAACATTGATAACATGCACGTGAAAGGGACACATCGAGTGGCTGCCACCCGCATGACCCAACCAGGGCCGGGGTCAAACTGCAACCGAGGTACATGCCCTTAGCGGGAACCGAACCCTGGTCTCTCCGGACTGCAGGCCGACGCTCTAACCGCTGAGCCAAACCGGCCAGGGCTGTTACCACGATTTTCTAAAACCACTCTCATTGCCCGGTGCACACACACACACACACAGACTTGGAAGTCTTCTCCATGAGATTCCCCCATCCATTCTGAACCTCGTTGACCCCCTCTCTGAACTCCTAGGACACCCTATGTTTTTATTTGACATTTAATTTTAAAGTCCTGAACAACTGTTTTATTTGGGTTAATGCTGTCTCAACTAAGTTATAAACACACAGACATGTATGCCACCCACAGGCCTTGTTCTCAGAATGTTAATGTTTAAGACTTGGGATACCACACTCAGAAGCCTATGGACCATCTTGGGGGAACACCAGATTCCAGAGGAACTGACGAATTCCAGGGTTGGAAGGTTTGTCTGACCCAATCACCTATTTTTCTGGTATTAAAATCTTTGCCACAATATCCTCACCAAGTATTTAACCAAGCTAGGTTAGAACACCCCCAGTGATAGGAAGCCTGCTGGATCTCTAAGCAACTCTTTCATCTCTAGAATATTCTGGCCCATAGAAATATGTCTTTCTGTGATCATATCCCTCTTCTCCATAAAAACCTTTAGCATTAAGACTTCAAGGAGTAGCCCTGGGTTCAGGCCATGCCTCTCTTCTTCCTCCAACCACGTCTCCCATGGATTTTTTTAAAGTCCCCTCACCATTCCCTTTATGCCTCTCAAGAAAGGCTCTAATTTAGCCTTCTCAGATCATGGAGCCCCAAACAGAACGCCCTGTGTACAAAGTCTGATCAGTGTAGGTTAGAGCTGGGCTACTGCCTCTCCTGTTCTAGATGCTGCGAATCTATTCATGCAACCTAACATCACATGATTTTTCTTGGCAGCCACATCATAGGTGATGAAGGCTGGGCCCATTTTTCAACTAAAAACTAAGCTTTATGGCTCTGTGATAGTTTTTGTTTTAAAGATTGTGCAATTGAATCATATCTCTCCTACTTTGTGCTCTGTCATTGGCTTTCTGGATTTTGGCAAAATCTCTAATGTAATTCTGTCAGACTTCATGTTTGTTAGATTCAGTTCATCTTTCCAGCTTGTCACTGTCTTAATGGATTCCAACTGGTTGTTCAGTGTACTCAATGACTTTCTGAATTTTGTTATATTTTGAATTTTCAATCACAATGTAAGCTGAATAATTTATAATGTTGGTTTTGATTACTTCATTTATCTGAGTTATTTAGAAGACTGTTTTTTAAAATATGCAAACTATTGGTTCTCAGTTTTACTGTATTATAATAAGAGAATATACTGATAAGGTATTTACTTTACAAAATCTATTAACCTTCCCTTTGTAACCAGAAACACTATCAATTTTATGTAAATTCTATGAGCGGCATGTGTGTCTTATTGTAGGGCACACATTCTACATCCATCTCTTAAATTAAGCCTTTTGGTTGATGGTTTCAAATACTGTATATATTTAATGTACTTTCTGCCTGACTAATGTGTC